TTTTTTTTTTTTTTTGCTTTGTTAGATTTTCCTATTAAAAAGCACGAGAATCAGCTGCCTTCCTCTCTGCTGTGTCATCAAGTTGCTGCTCGACTTGAGGGCCAGGTTGAGCTCTCAGGTAACCATGGCTACACCGTGTTTCCATAGGTAACAGCTCTTGTGCCTCCCTCTGCCAAGGCTGTTTGCTTTTCCCAGGAGAGACCTCAACCAGTCTTGGGTCTGGGAGTTCTTGACGATCCACTCATTTGCCTGCTGGACATTTTCGTCCCCTTCATCACAGGTTGAGCATTTCCTGTCTTGCCTTCTCGAGTCATCTCTGATTACCTCGCTGATTTGGTGAGCCTCTCCTTGGAGAATGCTTTTTTTTTTCCTTTTCTTTTCCTCCTTCCTGTGTAAAACGCAGAGCCTTGAAGAGCTGCTTTTTTTCCCCTCTGCCGACTGCCACACGGGGCGGGAAGCGTAACAGGACTCATTACCGATTTAATTTTTTTTTCTGCTTCCACCGCCTGCAGCACAGCTTCCAAACACCAAATTAGATGTGCCAGGACTCTTGTAAGGTGCTTGGGGTAATTTTGGGTTAAAATTCATTTGAGAAAGAACCGCTGTGACACTGTGTCACTGGGGTAAATTCAAATCTGAGGAAAATAACCAACCAAGAAATTAGATGCAACACAAACAAAGTCTTCTCTCTTGCTGCTTTTGAAGCCAATCCACAGACCTTGCATGTAATAAGTTTTAACATTAGAAACAAAACATCTACAAAAACACATCTACAGAAAAAAAAACATCTACAGTTTTTTTTTTTTAACCAGTTAACTTAAATTTTTGCCAAACGCAAAATAGAACAAAAAACTGAGCTGTAGATGTTAAAGATATATCAGCAAACTCCTTTCCTTCCTGTTTTTTCTTTAGTTGATCCTAAATACCGTGCTGGGTATATTTATGGTTAAAGAAATGTAAGAAAATCCTTCAAATAAATTCATATTGTATTGCATTTTGCACATTTTAGAAAAATCCAAGCTTAACTTTATTATTTTTATTCAGTGGAAGGAATAACAGCTGCCATTATTTTTAGAACCTATTTGTTGCTATTAATACAACCCTCTTCTGCCAATAAATAAGCATTTAGTCTTATTGTAGATCTCACGTTTTCTAAGGTTAAGTGGGATTTTGGTTCTGGTGAACTACTGGCTACACATTTTGGATCTTAATCTCATTAGAAAATGGTAACTAAAGTCCACCTCATTGATATTTTAAATGTTGTTTCAAAAGGCTCATGACGCTCTCCGCTCTAATAATGTTTCCAGGACTTTTAGGAGAAAAACAGATCCACAGCATCAGAGATCCTGCAGTGTGCTTTACCATCCATAGTTTTTATCCATACCCCCAAAAAAAGCTCAATTCTTATCTCATCTGATGATATCTCATTGTTTTGGTTAAAAATGGCTGTGTTAGTCTACTTTTGTGATGGTAGGACAGAAAAACCTCAGGTTACTTTGGAGCTAACACTCTTTGCTGCAGTCCTTCAACAGTAAGCTTTAGAGATTTTTTTATATATACCTCCTTTTCAAATCTCCTCACACTGCATGGTATAATACATTCCAGCCTTGTTTTTTTTTTTTTTTTTTGTGGTTTATTTTTTTACTGTTGTAGTTGTAAATGTTTTAATTATTGCCGGCAAGTTTAAGCAGTTTTACTGCATCCATTTCCTGACCTGCAAAGTTCAACACACATTTACCTTCTTTGAATGTCATCTTCTCTTGTCTAGCAGGATATTATCTCTCCCCTTGATGTCCCACATTAAATTCTGGGGGGGGGTTATGAGCAAATTATGAGTTTTTACATCTGTTGCAGATGGAGATGCACTGATCAGTTTTTAAATCAATGACAGATTTGTGATTTCAAGATGACCGACATGTTTTTCTCAGCTACTTCAGGTTAACCGTTTTGCCATCTGATTCGTTTTAGTTCCGATTCAATTTAAATGAAGGCGATGAAAGCCAGGCTCGTTTAGCCTGAGCAACTTTTACATCCACAGATTAAATGGACATTATCTTTTCAAGAAAACTCTGCTCTAGGTATAACTGATACAAATACATCAGTTTAAGCTTGTTTTATTTTAAAAATTTATTGCACTAAACTCTGACCATAAATGGAAAAAGGGCTGCAATCTTCTTGACTGAAGCAGAAGTTTAAAATCCAACAGAGAGTGAAGGGGTTGCAAGATTATCCCTATTTGTGCATCAAAGCATTTTGTCCCCAAATTATCTGATTTTCACTAAACTCAAAACATTAAAACTGCATCCAAGAACAAGATGTTTTTTATTAATGTGCAGATTGAGTTCAGTTTCGATGCATTTAATAAACAAAATAACATACAAGTCAGATCAAAAGCTGAGTGATTTGTACATCACTAGTGACAAAGAATACAAGGTTTCCTTTTACCACATCTTTTACAGATTTTCTGTCGTTAGCATGCAGGCTCAGGAAGACATTCTCTGCCAACTCCAGTTATTGGAGCATTTTCTTTTTCTTCTGCAAATTAGACTATGTTGGAAAACTCCAGTTGTTGGATCGACCTACTTGTCATGTTGATTGCAGATGCAAAATAGGTTTAAATATCGCCTTTGGAACTAGTTTTAACTTGGTTTTTTTCTTTATGTCCAATGTGAAAAATTTGTACTTCATAGTCACTTATCTGTTTAGGCAGAATCTGGCTACAAAGACACCAGAGTTTCATAAAGTCCAAAAAAATTATATATTTCTAAAAAAAAAAAAATCATTTTTTTTTATTTTTTGCAATATCCGTTAAGGCACATCAAGCTCTTATAGTTCATAAAAAATATTATATATAAATTGTGTGAAATAAAATTGCATTTTACCTTTGCCTCAAAGAGGAAGTCAGTTGACTGGAATATCTTGCATCTTTATTTTTATGTTGGTGGGGGGGAAAAAACCAAAAGGGCATTCTTCTGTTCTGTTTATGTAACTCACACATAGAAACACACAATCTATTTGTAGAAGACGTTCAGAGTAGGTCAGATGTAATGAATCAGATTCAGGCCACAAAGACTGACAGAAGCCCGTGGCTCTTCCCTGCAGGACTGATGCTCTCGGGCTCCTCTTCTCCATATCTGATCTCAGAGCGACTTCCCAAAGCACACACTGCCATGAAGGTCATTCGCTGACACCGCTGCGTTTCTGTGGCAGCAGGATTATAGAGGGACAGAGACGTGTTTTTCAGTGGAACCTTGTTAGGAGTGATCGATATCTAATATTGCGGGCTATTTGTTTTCCTGTCTGCAGATCTGCCGGCCTCCTCCCTGCAGTACTCGTGTGGATCAGTGGACTACCTGTGTTCTCCACGGCTGGCAAAGAAAGGCCCAACCACCAGACCATGTCACGACAAGCCCGCCATCAAGCCGCGGCCCCAGACCTCCACCTTACCCAGACCGCCGACTGCTCAAAAACCTCAAGGTAAAAATCCCCTTTGGCACGGTGTTGGCCCCTGTCGTCGTAATTGAAGGGTATCCTCAGGACCGGACCCCATGCTATTAACCTGTCATTGCTTCTGTGCCGACAAACCTCCTTTCTCTGTGCGGCCTCACTCTGCCACTCACGCACTCACGCCGTTTTAATAGGTCGCTGCTGGTGGAAAAGGAGGCCAGCGGTTCCCAAGTGTTTGTGTTTTGGTTTCATTTGAAGAATGAAAAATATGAACAACATGCGCTAAGTTTAGAGGGCGTCTGAGGAGCAGTGCTGGGACACCACAGACTTGTCCCCGATTTTTAAAAGGCTTCGTATGCCGAGAGAGGGGGCGGGATAAATCCCTGCTAACTGTACATAGCTCATCATCAAAGTGGTGATGACTTTAAAGCAAAATCTGTCTTTGGAAATGTTCTAAAGCTGAAAAGCCTTTTGGGAAGATTAATATATAATGATAGTGCATTTATGTGTGTTAGTGGGTAAAATAATTTGACAAGATTCAAAGAATCTGGGTGCAAATCATGTTTATTTGAAATAAAATTAAAGCCTTGATCCTTCAGAGAACTCAACATAACAAAGAATAGTAAATTGGTGTCACACTTTTTGTATTTTGAAGTAGGAACTAGAACTGGAACAGATATCTGAATATTTCCGATACTTTTTACTCCTATAATTTTTAGGGGAATATTTTTAAACAAACTTTTTCAGCTCTTCATGGCAAAGCATTGAAATGTAAAGTAACTGCCAAAAGAGCTAAAACTTGCAAATTAGATGGTCTCGTAATGTAAATTACTAAAAATCTGCTTAAAAAAAGATGTAGACACATGGAAAAAATGGAAAAAATAGGAGACCTGAAATAGATTACGCTCTAAAGTGCAACAGGATTAAAAAGCCTGATTTTAGTAACCAGAGTCTATAAATATGCTCTTTTTCCAAAATTAAAGAGAATGCAGTAAAGATTTGGAAATGTTTTAAATTGTTTTTGTTGTTGAACAACAAGTTACTGTGGCACAATTTAAAATCCTCTGTGTGGATATGTGTGCTTGCATGTACACAACTCTCTACATGTACTCTACACAAAATGAAAAGGAAACCAAGTCTTGTTTTGTCAACAGTGATTAGGTGTGGGCTGACTGTCTGGTTGATATCCTTCTGTAGAATCGCCACGGTTTCATTGTAGTAACAAAACTGTAAATGGCAATGTGTAACATGATCAAATAAGTAAGTATTATTCTAATGCCACTGGTGTTGACACAAATTCTTCCTTTTGGACATGTTTCATGGTCTGATGGAACATAAAGACCTGGAAATAAATATCTGCTCTTTGCAAGATGCTAGATAAAGCTGCATAATCTGATATGAATTTCCACAGCAGTCTATTGCAGAAAACCAAGCTTTGAAAAAGCACACTGAGGAAAAACAGCTGCTAGTTTTGTTTTGCGTGTATTTGAGCTGATGACATCACCAATCAGTTTGCATTAGTAAAAGCCTCTAAAAGAAGAAATTGATGGAAGTTGTTTGAATAAATATATATTTTTTAAAAACAAGACGGATAGAAATGGATAAAAAGAATTAAAATAACTCTGACCTGTTGCCTCATGTGTCGTCGCAAGAGATCAGTGCACAGGGAAATCTTGTTTTTGTGTTTTATCTTGACTACAATGTGAAACAAATAAAAACTGAACACAAAATGTGTTGAATGTTATTGATTTTACTGGAAAGTCTGGCTAATGGCTTTCAAAGTTTGGTTTGTTGGAGAAATTAGGAGCTTTTGACCTCTAAAAGATATAGGATTTAGTGTTGAATGGTTTTTGGTTTATAATCATTACATCCGCACACTGAGTAGACTTTTCATAAACTAATACAAAACTGTATGGAGAAAAGCTGCCACCATCCAGTTTGTCACAAACGAACCACCTGGCTGGATGATAAAAATAGGGTTTACTATTTTGTTCTGACATGAGAGGAAAAAATGGGAGTGAAGCTCCTTCCTGGGATGGAATTATGAGTAAATTTTGGAAACAGGCTTTTTGTTTGAACACACATCTGCGAGTGAGTCAGTATAGGTTTGGCAGGAAGGAAGGGTCTATTTTCTTTTTAGATCCAAAATAAGGTCGGTAGCCACTCCCCTAAAAGGAGACCTATAGTTAAATATCTTCTATATATTCTGTTTATTTCTTCGTGGAAAGTTTCCATTATTTTAGTGTTTTGGTGCTACAGCTGTATTTACTCCACATCTTTTCCTGTTCTTCCTGTTAGACTGATACTGCGTTCATTTATGCAGCCATTAATTTGCTTCGTGAAAACTTAGTAATGACTATTCATCGTGATCTAAAATTAACTTCCTTTTAAGACTTTGTGATGATCCATTTAAAATTTGACATCTAAAATGTATAATTTTGGTATTTAGTCAAAAATACTGGATTAAAATATATTTACCTTCAATTTCAGTTAAAGCCACTAGCCGGACATTTCTCTGATATTTGTCTCCTGTAGAACATGTCATATCGAGTCATTTTGTTTGTCTCAAATACACACAAAGCAGGATCTGCTCTTTTGTTTTTGTTTTTCAACCTGCTTTTGGAAATTATTTGCATTTTGTAGAATCCTCCTACATTTGTCAGTGTAAAAAGTCAGAGGCTCTGTTTGGACATTTGAATGCAGGTGTGAAGCAAAGTTCTCCCTCTGTGTCTAGCTTCATCAGACTGAAACATGCACCCAGAGGAAGTGCTCACTTGAACGACTGTGACATTAAACTTTATTTCCTGCTTTCAAACAAATCGGTTTCCTAAAGTTAAATACATGCAAATATAAAGACTCAGATCAAAATGATAAACCAGTAATGTGCATACATGCATGAAACAGTTTTGGTTTCAAGACTATAGTTTTTTTCTTTTTTTTTTTTGTTTTTTTTTGTCTGGAAGTGTTGTAGCTTACACACGCAGAAACACATAGCTGTCAGCATCCTGTTCTGAAATAAGGAAGTAGTCCGAAAGCTGTCGCAGATGGTTGATGTTACTCTGCCTTGCCGCTACGGTTCCTTTCAGTTTTTAAAAGTTTGCTCTCTCGAAGCCTCAGGACGGAGCAACCGAGGCTTTTGACTCAGCCATGGAGATTCTCTCTCTGGGATTTATCCGTGTCACCTGATCGTTTCGCTTTATGCCAGCAGCCTCATGCGTCTCCTCCTGTTCTGATGCTCTCGTATTGTCTGGATTTATGCATGTGCAGTGCCCCCTAAACCTGCGCACCTGCTCGCCCTTGGCCAAGACAAGAAACCTAAGAGGATCCCCCCGGCGCCCTCCAGACCTCTGCCGGCGCCCCCTCCTCCTCCTAAGCCAAAGCCTTGCCTGAGCCCTACTGGCCAGGGAGCACAGCCGCAGAAAGAGCCTCAGAAGGTTGGACAGCTCATCGAGAGGTTTAATAACTCCAGGTAAGAGGCTGTGAGGAAACTCTCGGTTCATTTATCAAAGTCATAATTTGCACTTTTTAGTGGTTCCATACTCCCTACCCTTGAATCTTCTCAGATTCTGTCATGTTACAACCACAAACTTTAGTATATTTATTTAGATTTTTTTTTTTTTGCAACACACAATGTTCCGTGTAATTTTGAAGTTTAGAAAAAGTGACACTTGGTTTATTTATTTATTTATTTATTTATTTATTTATTTATGTTTCAATTGATGCTGTGAAAAACCCAGAAGCTGCAGGTCTTGTGGGGTTTTGTCTCTACCAGCTTTGCACATCTTGTCATCTACATTTTTCCTCATTCTTTGCACAACACCTTAACCTCAGAGATATTTGATGCAACAAGTCTTCCCATGTATTCTGGGTTGGTTTTTGCTCAAGCTTTGACTTTGTCATTTTGTGCTTTTCTCAAAACAACTCCACTGTGGTCGTTTCCTGTCTGTGGGTAAACCAGCCCCAGTCTCAGGTTTTCTTCTAACAGAAGCCTCCATCCATGCTCGCATAAACTCCTATTAAGTTTCTTGTCCCTTGGGAAGAAATCCATGTCCATAGCATGGTGTTGCCGCCGCCATGTTTTAACATGCGGGTTGTGGGTTCAGAATGATGTGCTTTAACTCACAGAATTGGCCAAAAATATTCGTCTTGGTCTCTTCTGACCACAGCAGCTTATTTTACCTGCTTAGTTTGTCCTTTATATGACATCTGACAAACCACACAATGTAGGACTTACAGCTTTCTTTCAACAATGACTTTTCTCTCGTCAATCTTCGATAAACATAACTGTTCCTTGGTCTTCATGATGCACTTTGGGGTACAGCAAGCCTCTGATTTCACAGATTAGCTGGATTCATACTGATATTATAGCACAAAGCTGGATTCTATCCAACAAGTTGCCCTGGGTTTTAGTTAGGTTGGATCAGAATAAAAGGGACCGAATACAAATGCAAGTTACGATTTTTAGATTTTTATTTTGAAAACATTCTAAGCCGTGAATAATTTTCCTTCCACTTCAAAATTATATCCCTTTTTGTGTTGATCTGTCATATAAAATCATCATAAAATACCATAAAGTTTGTAAAAAGATCCAATGTAAACATGTTAAGGGGGTATGGATACTTTTTTTCAAGGCATTTTACAAATGTGCTGGATAAACATAACAGATTTCTTCTTCCAGGCTTCCAGTTAGTCATTAATTAGTGATTAATAATATCTTTCTGTCCCAGGGTCCCCATCCTGGGGGTGCTCCCACGGTCGCAGCTGCATCTTTGTCTGAGAATGGACACTGCGTCTGACCTCCCTCCATCCTGCAGCGCGGACGCCTCAGCGAAGGTCGCGGGAGACTCCTCCTCCGTGGACAAATTTGCACTAAGCCCCTCCGAACGAACTGACGGCGTGTCCGAACTTTCCCGTATCGCCGCAATGCACATCGACGGCTCGGACGACGGCGTGCTGGACGACTGCGTGGAGCATGACATCGCGCAGAGGGTGGGCTGCATCAGCGACGCGGACCACGAACAGAGCTCTTCCCATAAACTTACGGACAATACCGACTCCTCGCAGCAAAACGGAAAGATCCCCAACCGGGACAGCGGCATCGACAGCCCGTCTTGTGCCACCGAAGGGGAGGCGTTCCCCAACGAGGACGCCATCGACGAGGAGGATCATTACGACAGCGTCACCGAAACGGAAAGTGTGTCCTGCTGTGTTACGCTGGACAATAAGAGGGACTCGACGCAGGACGAGGACAGTGACTTGGACGAGGGGAGCAGCGGGGAGATCCCGTCTCTCACAGACACGCAGACCGGGTATCTGACAGATGCGCACTCAGACACACATAAAGTGAGTACCATGCATGCCTGTCTCCTGCAAAACTTTCTCATTAATCCAATTCAAAGCTTTCATCTCTAGCAGTCTGTTTAATTTTCATTTCTTGAGGTAATTTCTCTGGATCTTTCAGCAGGTGAAAAACTTCATCTCAGAGGGCCTTTTATGTCACGGAAAAAACAGCCTGTGTCTATTATTACCCCGGATGGGGTGAATGGTTTCAAAGAGTTCTTGTACATGAAACCTTAGACACTCTAATAGCCTGAGTTTAATCGGCACAAGTGACTGACTCCTATCTGACTCCTATCTCAAAGCAGCTCTTCCCATACATAAAAGGGTAAATACCTGCCCGAGAGCTGTAACAGGAGCTGGAGTGGATCGCTCAATCAAAGTCCACTGCCTGAGGTTTTCCCACAGCTGGACTAAGATTTCAGCTGGGCTATTGATTGTAAACAGCACCTGTACTTGAAGCTGTGTGCATGCATTTCCCTCTGAGACAGACTGTCCTGTAAGTACCCTGAAGTTTCTGATTTCAGAGGATCAAATGGGGACCAGTCCAGTACAGTCCAGAGAGATTAAAACGTGTGCAAAGAAAAGCTTTGTGCCAACACAAAATGTTTCTCTCACAGATGACTTCTGTCTGTATAGAACACACCCAGACTTCTCATAACTGTCACATGAAAGCCAGCGCGTGCAGCCGCTGCCGTCTGTCCACACCCTGAGCGTTTCAGGAGGAAAAAGGCACCGCTGCTCTTCAGTGCTTCCTGATCCCAACACTGCTGTGCAGAGGAAGGGTGTGCAGATACATGTTGCTGCTCTGTGTGTGTGTGTGTGTGTGTGAACCCAACATTGCAGCTGACATGTTGATGGGTGCATAATGATGGCCTTGTCACAGAGGATGTGGGTTTTTCAGTGATGCACGCTGCAGGAGGGACGACTGAAAACAACTTCTGCTGACTTTGTGTGGCCTCCGCTTACGAACAATGAATGTGCTGCATTTCGTTTTCATCAGAACAACGATCGTTGTGAGGCTCGAGGTGATTTTTTGTGTTCCCTTTAAGTACCCGGGAACGTCAAAATCTTGCTGTAGTTATCTGGAATAAATCTGTTGTGAAACCCGCATTGTTGCATCAGACTCGATCCGCCGTGACTTCAGTGCGTGTTCAGCCGGCGAAGCCAGAATACGTTTAGTCTGCAGCCTCGTTTTATTTAAGTTTACTCAAACATCTTTCGGTTTCTTGGACTGTTTCAAAAAGTCACTGAAAGAGTCAAAAGAAAGAGGAATGATGTTTCTGATTTTCACTGAAGCAGCCAATAAACACATCCTGTTGGTTTCAATTGTTAAGTTTACAATAATCTACTGCAATACTGTCGCATCCTTTTAAGAGCTGATTGGCATTTTTCTTTTTTTTTTTTTCTCTGAATGAACTAAAATATGCATCTTAATCATTTCCTTATTTAAAGTTCAAATCAGTTTGATCTGGCATCTAAGAAAGAAGCTTTGTAAAAAAAAAAAAAAATATCGGTTTGTTAATCTTTTCGTGTTTATCTGATTTCCTCAGTGCTCGGAGGCTCAGAAGCTCCTCAACATCGCCAAAGAGCTCCTCCACACTGAAGAGGCCTATGTGAAAAGACTCAACCTCCTCGACCAGGTAACACACACCAGCCGGCTTTCTCTTTCTGGTGATGGTTAGATGTGAGCTGGATTTAAGCTTTCACCGTGATCTAACTCCATCAGGCTAGGTTACTGGAAGCAGTGCAAGATTAATCTTGAGAACATTTTTGCGTGTATGTGAGTTATATTTAAATGTAAAAAAAATAAATAAACAAAAAATCAGCTTTGTGGCCCGAGTGTGAACTTTTGCTTGGTATACTATATATAGTCTTCAACTGCTCTGCATCTGCTTTGGTCGTTTTGCATATTAATCCAGTGTGGTGGTTAAAAATAAACCCAATCGCCGTTCACTCATGGAAATGACTACTTCATTATTTGCTTCATGCAGAATATTCAGCTGAGTCTTTGGTCTGTTAGGGTTTTGTTGCGTTGTGATGAGAATCCTCTGCCAGTGGTTGACTTGTCTTCCTCTTCGCTCAGCTCATGTGGTGCAGCAGATAAACAGCTGCCCTATCGCAGAGTAGCGTTGGTTTATTTGTTTCCCAAGGGCAGAAAAGCCTCATAGTTTGCTTCCTGTTATTGTTCTTGCTACATCAGTGCCCGTTTCTATGGTTACTGTAAAGCCCACCTGTGGTTGGGGCTGGTACGGAGGTGAAACTGGATGTAGGTAACGAGAGGAATATGTCACATGAGTTATGACAAAAGTTTTATGTGCGATTGTAAATTTTTGACCTTGCGTCTTCCTCGCTGTAATATATTGAAATGTTCCAGGCACATCAAGCAGATTATAATGAGAGCCACATTATACTTTCTTGAAGTTCTGCTTTTGTGCATGCTGTACAGAACCAGTTTGCACGCAAGCAGAAGTGGAATTTCGCCTTTTTGAAAATATTTTACATCAACTGTTAAAGAAGCAAATCAGTGAATCCTTCATTTGTTGCTTCACCCGTTACAGCTACCGGCACTCCTGATAAAGATGTGTTTCTCATAGTCACTCTTCAAAATGAGAAAGACAACAGAACATGCCATTCAAGTAAGGCAAACATGTGTCTGTCTTGTCAAGTCAGGAGATTGCAGTTGGTTCAAATGGCCCAACTACTTCCTCAGCGGGTCATAATGTTGTGCAGATGCCTGCTAATGAACCATCATTTGCTGCAGCTGTGTTGAAACAGAAAAAATTAAAACCTGGAGGCTATTGGCCCCTTCAGGGCTGACTTTGGGCACCACTGATCTGGAGATTGTGCAAAGGAAAATCCTCTTTCTGTTTGCTCCAACCTTGTAAAATGTTATAGGAGAACACTAAGTGCTTTTCCTTTGGCTGACAGAGGGTTGTGCAAAATAGTAGCAGTAAATGTACCAGCAAGTGTGGCACCAGTAATTTTCTTTGACAATTACAAGTTTGATTTTTTTTTTGTTTGTTTGTTTCAGTGAGAGCTTTTGCAACTGCATTAAAACAGGAATTTAACTTTTTTCTTTTTCAACGTGTTTTTTTTTTTCCCTACTAAAGGTACAGTATAATGGGGAAAGGACTGCTGTGAAAGTTGGTTTTCAACCAAGCATCAGTTTAATGTAACCTTTTCTACTCACATTTTAGACTTTTCCCCTCCCCCCTCCTCAAAAAAAAAAATTCACAGCCACTTTGTTGTATCCAGTGATTCAAAGTTTAACTTAAATTAGAAGAAAGGACGTTTGGAAGAAATTAAACGGCTGCAACAGAAGCCAGAATATCCTGATAACTGGTCTGTGATATGGCTTAAGATCCTTAAACATTTCCACAAATAACGGGGGGCTGAGAAAACGACTCGATGCAGCTTAATTGTGCCCTCCTAAAAGCTGGGTTGTTTCAAATTGAGCCATGTCTACGGTGCAGCTATCAGTAACAATCAAACACAGCGGTGTTGTGCAGCCAATAAATGAGACCTTGCAGAACAGAGTGTAATGTTTCATTTTTAGCAGCTGGTATTTGAAACGATAATAATGGACTTGTCTTCATCACCTGTGTGTTACAGAAGCTTTTTCAGATCCCATGACTCATTCTGGGTAATTTAGAGAGATGTAACAATGTGTATGGGAGTTTTAATGTTTTTTACAGCTTCCATTTATGTACAAATGTTCCATCAACTTTCAGTTTTGTACGTACCAATGAAATGCGCTGCTTTACATTTACCTCGGAAGTCTGAACTGGGGGTTGAGAACGATGTGGCAACTGATTGCAATACAGTGACACCCAACCGTTGCTTGTACCACTTCTTACAAACATTATTTTGAAGTTGTATTTTCTGCATGCAAACAACACCTTTAATTTGTTCAGTTTAGATTTACAAGCGCTAAATGTAACTTTGACTTCAGACGAGCGTGTCGCCCAACGTGTTTCCACTGCAGCAGCTGCTGTCGATGCCGGGAGCGGCCATATTGGATATCAAAGTCGGTGTTAGAAAATTTCTCTGACTTTCTGAGTGGGAAGTCTGGCTTCGGGAAATCGTTTCAGTAGAATTTTACGACTCGGAAGTCAAAGCTGCCAAATTCCGACTATAAATGAAATGCATCGTTACTATCATTTATTTACAGTTTATGGGTTTTGTCTGCTTTTGCTACAGAAAATTATGACGTTTATGTTTTTTTTGGTAAAGGCTTTGCCCTAAAAAGTTATGGGGTTAATGGCGTTGTGGTCAACATAATCTGTCTGAAAAAGGCTTGTCGCCAAAGTTAACCAAGTTGGGGTCTATTTGAAGAATTGAAATTATTTCATTGTGTTGTTTACACAAGTATCTAATTTAATATATTTAGATAACTCTGAGTACATACTTTCAGTAGAACAATGTCTCAAAGTGAAAAGGACATTTTTTTCAACATTTCAGTAACCATTCCCTCAGCCACTTCGACCCAAAGTGATGTGTTAAAAAGGTGTAATATAAATTTGCATTATTTTGAATAATCTCTCAAAATTCAACAGATTATTTCTAACCAACCAGCATGAAACATTTCCCGTTTGGGTTAACGGATCTGAACCTTCAATTATTTGATATGATTTTGATTTTCACCAGGGTGTGTTTTTTTTTTTTTGTTTGTTTGTTTTTTTCTGCAGGTATTTTGCACTAAGCTCACCGAGGCTTCAATCCCTCAGGACGTCATTACAGGGATCTTCTCCAACATTTCCTCCATCTACTTATTCCACGATCAGTTCCTGCTCCCGGAGCTCAAGACGAGGATTACTGGAGAATGGTGAGGAGTAAACACGCCATCCGAATATTCTTAGCATGATGACGTGTGGCTGTTTTTCTTCAGGAGAGAAGGGCAATCTGGTCAGAGTTCATGGAGGACGAAGGAAGCTTTTCAGTGACACCTCTGTTTTTGCTCCAGGGAATCAAACCCTCGCATTGGAGACATCCTCCAGAAACTGGCTCCTTTTATGAAGATGTACGGAGAATATGTGAAGAACTTTGACCGATCCATGGACCTGGTCAACACCTGGACCCAGAGGTCATCTCAGTTCAAGAGTGTTGTCCAGAACATACAGGTTTGTTTCTGTGGTTCAACGTGTAGCTTGATGACGATGAAACGCTGGTTCATCCATTTCATCCTGCAACCTTTTTTGCTTTTGTTTGTACTTCACTTGTCAAAAACGTACAATGTACCAGGTTGAAAACCAGTGAAAAAGTGCCAAATGTTCAAATAAAAACCTTCACAAACCCTCCAGAACTGTTTATAAGGATCATTTTAGAAGTCCAGGCTTAAATTATAGACATAAAAAAAGGTTTAAATGAATGACAGTAGGGTCAGGAGAAAAACTAAGTACATACTTTTCTAAGATTTAAGAGGCAACATTATAGCCAATAGGTGTTAAGATGTGTGATTGACTATCACGCATCACCTTCTGTATAAGTAGGAGTTTAGGTTGTTTATCTTTAGAATACAGGTAAGTAGTTGCACAATACCAGAATGGAAAGACATCAGCAATGACTTCAAATGTGAGTTTGGAAAAGTGTGGAAATTTGTGTTTTTTTTCTTTTTTTTTTTTTGTTTGTTTGTTTTGTTTTAAGATTAGGGAACTGAAATCTCAATTTGCACTTGATCCAACAGAAACAGGAGGTGTGCGGGAATCTGACGCTGCAGCATCACATGCTGGAGCCGGTCCAAAGGATTCCTCGCTACGAGCTCCTGCTCAAAGACTACCTGAAGAAGCTGCCCGACGACGCTCTCGACCGCAAAGATGCAGAAAGTAAGACATGATGAAGTTAACACACACACACACACACACACTGCTGTCAGTCACAACTAGTAAACTACAGACTGAAAGGAAACCCTTCAGTTTTTTTTCATTTCTGGGATTTCAGTTTTGAAATCTTTAAACTTTGTATCAACACGCAGACAGGTTCCTTGTGCCTGATTGGTTTATGTAACAAAGTAATAACTGACCAAACGCAGGATTCTCTATGACGCGTACATACAGCTTCAAGGGGTAAATTGTGAACAAATCATTATGCGAGTCTGCTGAAAGCAAAACTGTTGTCTTGCGTCCTGCAAAAGCGGTGAAATAACGTGTTCTACAGGTTTGGTGAAATAAAATGAAAGTGCTTGAACCAGTGCAGAACTCCTTTCTGTTCAATGACAATTAAAAACCAGCGTGTTAACAGCTTGGGTTGTCGCACTCACAATATGTCTCTGAAACATTCATTAATTGTGCTCACTGCGAGGTGGGAAAATGGCAAAATGGAGCCAATCGGAGTTTTATTGTTGCACACATCGTAATTATACTCCCATGCTTAGAAAAGAGCAGAAATACTTCCTCACAGGCGAGTTACGGTTTTCCTGTAGCAATTCACTTTGATGACGAGACAAAAACACACCGAGCAAATTAAGAAACTAAGTAGAACGAGTGTATAGCGATAACAGGGAATACACACTTTTAGAAATCAGCCTCTGGATTGACCCAAAGACAAAGGTAGAGAGCTACTGGAAGAGTACAGAGTCGAGTATTATGTTTCAAACTGCAATAATCTATTTAACTTTTACTGTCGCAGAGAAATGCATCTGATTCAGAAAAGATGTTACTTATTGGTTTGAGTCTGGGAAGATTACAAAAATGTTCTGAAACCTGCATAAGGAACAGTTCAAAGCAACATGAAAACCCAAGGAAACAATTATGAGCTTACCTTCACCTGTCTGTAAATTTTAAGGATTTCTTTTTAAAATTTTAAAAAGAACGATTACAGATTTAATGAGTAAATGTTAACATTTGATACTTTTAAGGGATTGTGAATCAGAACTTGAGGATTTTCAGTGAAACAGTTGTATCCTTCAGAGGGAGAAACACATATTTGTGGTCTGAAGTTCATCTAAACTCAACCTGTCTTAATACCTTTTCCCCTTTAATGATTTGTTTGAACAGTCTTTTTTTTTTCCTGGACTAATACTATAAAGTACTTGAATATTTTTTTTTTTAAATGGGACTTTACAAAGTCAATCCCATATTGATATCTGGACATCGTCCCTCAACAGGTTGCAAAGAGACCAAACACTTTGGTAACCACTAAGATTCTGCCAGAAATGTTAGGCCTCATTTAGTTAATTGGTTTCTTGGTCCTCATCTTACTTAATAAAAGTATTGCCCATATATTTTTTTAAATATATTGGTGATGTTTGCAGTAGTTCCAGAACCTTAACTTTAGTTTGTCTTAAACCAGTTTTATGTCTGTTTGAGATGATTGTCCTACTGGAAACCCGCTTGTGTCAAAGTTGTTAAATTGACTGAAGTTGAAAAATCTAGAGGTCGTCCTCCTGCTTAACTTTTCTATCTCCCTTGTACTATGCTACTTTGTTGATCTTGAAAGCGTCGCATGTAAATTTTACTGAAGGTCGAAGGTGTCAGCGTTGAAATAGACAATTATTTGTTGGTTGTCACCCTGTCTACATATGTTAACATTAAAATCACTTCTCTGTGACTGTGATCTTTCACCGTCTTTCACTTTAGATAATCCAAGACTTTCATGTTTATCCCTAAACCTCCAGGCCATTTTCTTCCCATGTGTGTCACTCAGGATGTTTCTTCAGGATAAAAAATAAAAAAAAAAACTCGATTTATCAAAACTTCTGTATCCAGAACTAAATGTATTACAAATAGCAGAAGTTACAATAAAGCAAACTTTACATATTGCTCATTTGCACAGATGCAGTAGCGTATTTAACCTAATCTTATAAATTCAATCATCCCTGTGTTCATTTACTAAAACCATAGCTGTTTGTTTGGAGTCCCCTGTCCACTCCTACAGAGAAGCAATTCATTCCAGTTGCTCTGGCCTCACACTGCAGCCTGAGTGTCTCTTCTGTTTATGTGAGGTTATGATTAATACACCAGGCCGATGTGCTCACAGTCGTGTTACTCCCTGCTGGCTGGAAGCCTTTCTAAAGCACAATGTTTTATTAGAAATGACCATTAACCTTTTGCAAACAACAAATGTCTGTTTATCTGTGTGACAAGTGGGGAAAAAAAATATTGCTCTGTTTGAATTTCAGTCACATGATCTCGCTCGCCAGTTTTGCACTTTTTAATCACTGTTCATATTTGCACTGCAGAGGCACTGGAGCTGATCTCTACTGCAGCCAACCACTCCAATGCAGCAATCAGGAAAATGGTATGGTCTTAAATTCTTCCTGCACACAAACTAGCTAACTATTTTCATCTCTCTGGTGGTGTCTAGGTTAGCTTTACAAGAACAAGTTACCCAATCAGACACTTACTAATGTTGTCTCCCTGTCAGCGACATTGTGTTAACCCAGACAGGAAGTTGCTGCTTCCTGCCCGATGTGTCATGACTGAGATATCATGGCCGCGTGTTTTCAACACTGGTCCTCTGCTTTCCTTTTCATTTGCCTCTCCATAATACCTGCTTCTCACACATCCTTCAAACGACTTACAAATGCCAGGATGAAGAGGACAAAACTTCTGCTTTCCTACTTTTCATGTGAAACTAAAAAAAAAAAAAAGAGAGAGAGAGAGACGAGCCTGACACAGATCACCACCAGAGGGAGAGCTAAGCTTAGAGCTCCATCTGTCTTCTGACTGGAGAGTGCCTCTGCTCCTCTCATCCTCCTGTTTTCTGTTATTTTTATTTTTGTTCAGGAAAAGATGAACAAGCTGTTGGAGGTCTACGAGAGGCTCGGGGGAGAGGAGGACATAGTAAATCCTGCCAATGAACTCATAAAAGAAGGGCATATTAAAAAGATGTCAGCCAAAAATGGAACAGCACAAGACCGATACCTCTACTTGGTGAGAAGACTGCGTAATTATAGACGCGTCACGCAGGCTCAGAACGGCTCTTAATGTCATATCAGCTCAATAAATGCTTAACATCTTCTTCATTTTCAGTTCAACAACATGGTGCTATACTGCGTCCCTAAACTCAGACTGATGGGGCAGAAGTTCAGTGTCCGAGAGAGGATTGACATTGCAGGAATGGAGGTATAATCCTGTTCTATTTTTTTTTCTGCTTGCATTGTCATGTGTTTAATCCACATTTATTCTGCTTTTTTTTTTTTTTTTGTCTTCTTTTTTTTATATCTCAGGTCCAAGAAAATGTGAAGCAGAACGTTCCTCATACATTTGTTATAATTGGTAAACAACGTTCACTGGAGCTGCAGGCTAGGTAAAGGCAATTAAAATCGACCAATGACCCACACTCGTATGCATTCGGATGTGCAAGTGATTGAGTTCATGTCTGTTTTGGGAATAGGCAAGTATAAGATTATTATGGTGTGACAACGTGGAGTAAAAATGCCACCGTTTCACAGCGTGTGCAGTTTAAACCAAAATGTATTCATGATGTGATTGATTTAATTTAAAAACAGAAAAACAAAATACTGATCACATCTGTACTGTAACCTTTATGCATTGTTTATTTTTAATGACACATTTTTTTAATGCTAAGTGCCTTTTAGTTGTTCTACTGAGGAACTCTGGGAGTCTTGAACATTTTTCATTAACTGTGTGAGTGGACAGACTGTCAGCCCATGTAGCCTGAAGTCGGTTACTGAGGGTAGTCCCTCAACAAATTATACTACTTTTATAAAAGCGATGGGTGGTGCACTTTTAGTTTTCAAGTTAGGAAGCCATAAATATTTCCTAACGACAGTTATTTTTCCTTGTAACACAGGAATGTTACAACTTGACTGAAAATGTGGAGCAAAAGTTTGGGGAGAAAACAGCCCTGCTGTCCTCTGTGCTCCATACATATGACTCCAATCAGTGGTTAATTAGTCTAATTAAAAGACCTCTTGCTGTAGGATTTAAAGGATGGAAAATATGGTAGTTTTCTTCTTAAGCTATTATGGTTGCAGTTTTACTTACAAGTTGTTGTTGTTTTTTTTATTTTTTTCTGAGCATAGCAAAACAATTAAATATTTTTGAATATGTTTTTACGTGTTTTTATTTTCATTTGTACTTGTAATTTTCTCAAGTTTCTGAATTGTTGAAAGAAAACCAAAAGAAGCCATCTTCAAGAGGAAACCTGCTGTTGTCAGATGAAATCCAAATTTAGCTTTTTGACCCACATGCAGAATGCTGTGTGGTGGGAAAACTAATCGGTGCATCATCCTGAACAAACAATCCTCATAGTAAAGAATACATGTCTCCGCTTCATGATGAGATGGAACAAGTGGAAAGATGGTGGTGGTGGCAGCATCATGCTATAGGGATGTTTTTTTTTTTTTTTTTTTCAGCAGGGACAGAAATGAGGACAAATAAAATCTAAAAAGGGTAATATGCTTGGAAAATATTACGAGGCAAGGCCTACTACATATTTAACCTGGTCTCTTCTGTAAGGCGTGCATAAAAATTAGCCTGCATGGCTAAATGTGGCTTATTTACATGACAAACTAATGTACTCTTGCTTACAAATTAAGGTGAAGATAATCTAGTTTTTATAATTTCTTATTTAATTTCATTTAAACAGTTTCACATTTCTGCAATTTGAATTTCTAGTGTGGAGAAAATGTCACATTTTCATCTAAATATTTCATTAATATGAAATGTCTTTGCTCTACAGGACAGCAGAGGAGAAGGAAGATTGGATCCAGGCAAGAATAACACACCCACACACACACATGAGCTCGCCATCTGAGTCCCTGAAGGACAGACGGCACTCCGGTCACTATTTTATCAGGGAATGGAAATAGCATAAATCTTCCTAGATCATTTTTTTCAGTATTTGAGTCTTGCTGAACTATAATAAAATGCTTTTTTACTTATTTATCCCATTACAACAAGGCAGCAATGCATTCTGCTGATTTGACAAGGGACTAATTTTAAACAATGGGCTTTACTGCTGGTATGCAACGACGAGTGAGGAGTGGAAATTGTTATATGGTAGCCTAATCAAGATTGATGACATAGTGGAAGGTAAACAGAAAGCTGCAGTAGTGGGACTGTCATGCATTCAGCCTGAGTTTATCTTCTGAGCCCAGACGGGATCTGAAGATAAGGTCAGAACGGTTTATAATGCTCCAGCCATGTGCTCCAGGTTTTCAATCTTTTTCCTGTCTGTCTCCTCTGCCCTCTCACTCTCAGGTGATCAAGGCCACCATCGAGCGGCACAAACAAAACAGCGAAACGTTCAATAAAGCGTTCAGTAGCTCCTTCTCCCGTGAAGACGACCATGTGCCGGAGTCTCCGGTGAGTGTCGATCTCCCCCCCCCCACCCTCTCTTGATTACTCCATTGTGAAGTCAGAGCGAAGGTCATGATGTCCAGTGAATCATGGCAGACGAATGATCCACCATACGATTTTGTCATAGTCTGGCCTTTGTCTGCCAGAACAGCCCTCCATCTATGGATGTGGGTAGAATCAAACACTCCCAGAAAGAGGCTCTTTATTTCCACATGTAGCGTCTGCGAGTCTCTTCTCCCAGAGATGGCTGATGACCAAATAGGGAAAGCACAAGTCAAAGTTTATACTGAACTGCTATGGATCTTCTTTGACCCACTTTGTGTTGGCCTTAGCTGGAACCGAGCCAAACACTTCCTCCAGATTCCTGAGAGGGGGTTTAGGCTGACACCTAGTGGTAGATGTAGATTACTGCAGGAGGATGACGTCCTTACTGAGTTTTTCAACTTGTCCTCAGGGTCCCAACTCTTTTATGGACTCAGATGGACTTCATGAGAGGGTAAGATGCTGTCATATTCTCTTGCATTTTAACTGTTCAGACATTACTCATGTTTATTTGATTTATCTACTAAATTAAGCTAATCTCACTTTGTACCTGCTGGAACTTAAGAAAATGGAAAAAAAAAAAAAAAAAATATATATATATATATATATATATATATATATATATATATATAT